CTTACCTAATAGAATATGCCTGCTTAATGCGTACCTATGGGGTATGTACGTGGTTGGTACCTGATATGGGTATATTCCTGGTATTTACAGGGTACTCACCTGATACTTATTGGGCCCATAACTGGTATTTATTAAGTATCTACCTGATACTTACTGGGTGTGTAAGGGTTTGTTTGTTTGGTCTTGTCAGCTTTCCAAGAACCAAAAGAGACAGTGACATATAAAAGGAGACATTCAGAACAGGAAATAGGAGAAAGCTTAATTTTAAGAAATGAACTATGRAACAAATACAAGTCAACTCCTTCGATAAAATTTTTTTAGGAATTGCCCTATCCGTCAGTATTCATGGGGGGTGGAATCCGTGTAACTTATAGACAATCTGTACAATTTGACATGTATGCAAATATGACAAAATAATGGGAGGAGTTGCAGAAGCCTTATTAAAAAAAACTTTACGAATCCAAGTAAAGATTAAACACTTCCAAAACAAGCTCAAATATGTTTCATTTTTTTCATGATCATTCTCATCGTCATTACTGACAGTGGTTTGTTGAGATCATTTGCCCAGAAGAGGATCCTGAAGGGGTCTTATTTTTTTTTAGTAATTCATGTCTCATGAAAAGTGCAAAATACCAATTTGCTTCTCCGGTGTGATTGGATTACATYCGAATACACAGTTTGCACTTTGTGAGACGCCTCCATAAATGAAAGGCACACACGAGAGCAAAGAAATAGATGAACGAGCCAAACTATCTGTCACACTCTATCCTGTTTGCTAACGCTAATGTTTGCCGCACCTGTGATGTTTTCACTGATCACACACTCTGTCATTTTCATCCTGAGAACATTTCATCTTCTATCCCTCCTGCCTGAGTCTCAAACATCCATTCATTTAAACCTAAACTCCTTTATGTCCTGCAGGTCAGCTTAATTGACTTCCAAAGTCAAACATTTTTTCTCCTACTTTCTGTATTTCTAATCATTTCTGCTCGTTCCTGTCAGTGTTGCTTTGAGAGTCGCACTGAGCAGCCCTCTGAGCGGGAGAGGCAGAGAGGAGGAAGCCGATAACAGCTTTGCCGTCAGCAAAAGACCCACTGTTTGAAGCAGTATTCCAGCTATTTGAGGCTGACTTCTTGTGTATGGGCATGCCCAGCTGAATTGTCAGCTTGTGATTGCGACGCATTATCAAGAGAGGGGAGTCAAAGTGAGGATTACAAATACCACCATTATCACAGCCAGTCCAGAAGACGCCAGAGAGTCAAACTGGCAACAAGACACAAGGAAGAGGGGACAAAAAAAGAAAAGGAAACCAGTCAATTTGAGAGTTTTCAGGTGTTTACTGCACGTCTTTGTCTTAGAAGATTACATAGRGAATAAGCAGTTGTTATGGGAACCTTTTTGGCAACTGCAATCAAAGTTATTTGTGAAGCCTTCTGGTTCGGCCAAAGCAACGGCAAACAAAGCCTTGAGAAACTGCAGRTTCCAAATTGCCAATCAGCCTGATTAGACTTGACATTGTGTCTTCCCAGCAGAGCCTTTTGTCATTGTTTTATGTATTTCATCAGCTTCTTTTTTTCTTTCAATTCAGTGAGCTTTTGTCTCTCTGCAGATATGCTGTCTGTCTGCTTCCATTTCTCATCGGCCCACCTTTAATCTCCCCTGACTCAGCCACCGCCTCTTAATTCAGGCTCATAAAACTATGTTTGATCTGCGCCTCGAGCAGCTCATAGAATTAGAAAGTGGGAAACTGATAAGAAACGAGACAGATAGGACTACAAACAACCACGAGCACCTCAGGTCTGTGTATGAAATGGAGCGTGAGAACAAATATCTCATTTCAGAGTAATGTGATGATGAGGTTTTTTTTTTTTTTTTTACATTGTTTACCGCTCTGATTCTTATTGGCTTGTTGGCTACATCATAAAGTGTGACTCAGTYTCCACGACCCTCAGCTCAGCCCTTATCTTCCTCTCTCAGAGGAGAGAATGCTTACAGTGTTGAGTCTGAGCACATAAACGGGATTATCTTCTGAAACCTACACATACAAGCAGCAGTGATATCAGGCATAAAGAGTCATTTGGCCAATCGAACGCCTCGCAGAGGCCTCCTGGATTGGAGAGGGAAGAAATACGCTCTGTCACACCAAGGGCTTGTTAATTTAATGAAGAGAGGAAGCCAGTTATGGCAACAAAGCTGTTAAATACCTACCTGTCAGGGATGAAAGCGACTGCAAAAGAAGGCTTTGAGGTCATCAATAAAATTTGCTCGAGGGGCCAAAATGGTTAAAATCGGTCAGTGCAAACGCTAGACTTTAATTCACCATATTTTTGGTAAGTATGACCGGTTTGTTGAATTTCTCTAGGTTTTTACTTTAAAAAAATCACTTTTTTTCTCAAATGTGTTACGCCATCTTTTATTTATTTATTTATTTAGTTTTTTGTGGCTTTACTTGCAATCACTACACTTACATTGCAGAGAAAATCCTAAAATTCTCATTAAAATGTAATAATATAGGCTTTGGTTTGCTTAAATTAATGCATATTGACAAAGTTAATGATAGAGTTTTTGGTTAATCCTTGAAATATACATTATCAACTTCCTCATGAGATTTTGGTAGATTGAAGGCTCAATATGTGTGTTGTGAATGACTGTTACCAACTCTCCCATCATTTTAGTTTACTGCAAAACTGACTAGGCCATAGACATATTTTGTTCATTCCAAAAGATAGCCATTTTTAGGTTTTCATCAAATGATTACATTCTGCAAGTTTCATTCAAATCTGTTCAGTTGGTTGTAAGATATTTTGCTAAAGGACTATCAAAGTAGACTCCAGCAGTTATTTCCAAAGTCTTAAACAAAAATGACAATTAGTCAATTACAAACATTTTGGATATGACTTGGGAATAACTATTAACTACTACAGGGTCGGACGACAACATAAGTAGTATAGGCAGCTGCAAAGGGAGCCATCCATCCASGGGGCGCCACAAATGGGGGATGAAAAAAATATTTTATAACTTTTTATCAGAGTGTAGTTAATTTAGTCTGAAGAATAATCACTGGTAGGTTTACAAAGATAACTTGTTCTGATGGTTTTTCAGCCTGGTTTGTTACAAAACAAAATCAGAATAATGGAAGTTTCAGTTCTGATCTCAGATAAAGTTCAGGTAAAAGTCTTGTTTTCAGTGTTCTACCTTCATAAAATACAGATTTGATGTTGTTTCATTWTTCTCAAGAGTTGAGTAAAATCTTCYAATGGCTGGAAAATGCATAGTTTTGAGTAGATATTTATTCTCCATGGTAGCATACCCCTGGACCCCCCTAGAACTGCTTCACCCCACAGCTGCAGGTGTTCCTCATTGCTGTCAGCAGATGTTGGCAGGCATGATATAGGCTTCTGATATTCTGTTTCAAAAGAATTGTATTTCTAACTATTTTAATTGTAAAATCTGGTTTTGAAAGATAAAAAATAATAGCAGAGACAAAACTATTTAATTTGGTTTATTTTTATTGATTGTTTATTTGATAGGACCAAAGGTCATTCTGCAACATGGTATTTTCCTGTCATGATTTGTGGTGCTTCTAGTGACTTAACTTCCTCAACAAATGTATGTAATGGTTCAGTTGCCAAAGGAATAATGATTCTGTGCTAGATTTTACTACACAAACACACATTCTAAGAAAAACATCATTGCCAAAATGTGTGAGGTGGGATAAAAAAAATAACTGAAATGAAAGTTTTAGGTCAGAAATGTATCAAAAGCAGCAACCAAGTGAAATAAGCTTTTTAAATGTCCGGCCCACAGGCCACCAYTTGGCACTCACCAAATTAAAAGCTAAACAAAACGACTGAGGAAGAGTAAATGTTAACAGATGACTTCATAGTGATCCCAGTTAATTGTGTCCCACACCTTAAATTTTCAGACAGGTCTAAAAACAAAGTCCCAGCTAAATAAAATGGTGGATCAATAGGTTGCAGTTGGTGAACAGTGCTGAACAAGCTGCACTTCAGGAAGATTTACACACAGTGGCAGATTGCACAGAGCAATCACTGTACGTATGTGTTTTAATTCTGAACTCTTTTTTTTTTTTTTGCTCTGTAACCAATCGAGCCTCTAATGATCATCGTAAATTAGCAGAAATAAACTACAGAGAACGCTTGGAAACAGTCYCTCCTTGTGATTGTAGCAGAAGCCCCGAGGCTAAATGCCATCTTGTGAAAGTGACAGTGGCGTCAGAGCGTCCCAGGGTGAAGAAGGCAGAGGGAGATTCAAAGATATATAGACACAAGACCCACGGAGAGCACTTGAGAGAGATTGCCTGGAGAGAGGATAACTCTGAGATAAGAGATATGTTCWGTAATGAGAAGAAGAGAGGTCTGCCAAAAAAGAGGGTAAAAGAAAGAGAGGAAAATGATGAAAAAAAAAGAAAACAGCTCATTGGCAAAAAGTTGGATGAAGTTTTGCTTCACACACACTTTTCCTGGCCTTTAAAGTCCATGGTCAGTCCTCGCTCAAGAAGTCTTGCTTGCTAATAAATACAGGAGATGGATGAGTTCAGGGAGTGAATCATCTCTGGGTCCTAACATCTTAAAGACTGCTCGCTCCCTAGGGCTCGGCTGCTACACAAACTGCAGCATTTTGAGGGGAAGAAAAATGTTTCCTTCTTTTCGATTAAACTAAAATTAGTATAGGTTTTAAAAATCAAACTTTTTGGGGAAGACTTGTGTTTGCTTTCTTCCTGGCAGATCTCACTTCCATGTGCATAGCACAAAAGCCAGACTGCAGTTTAAATAACTAACTTAGAAATTGTACTGTTTTATCCTTACCTTGAGAGGAGAGGGTAACAGAAAGAAGAGAAACATARTCAGTATGATTGCAGTTCTGACTCAGAGCCTCCGTGCTCCCAGCTCAACCTGTTGAGCTACACTAAATGGCACCATATGCATGAATAGATCAGACAATTTGTAAATGTGTATCTGTTTTTGTTTGCTTTTCAGAGCGGGTAGCTGAGCCTGGCAGATATGGAGACCCTGGAAATAAAGCTCACCCAGTCTCTACAAGGAAACCAGGACAGAATGGTGAGTTTGACAATATTTTCCTTTTCTTTCCATTTATCTTTTTATCGTGTCTAACATCATGCATGCAAAGAAGCAATTTTTGTAAACAGAAAAGCATCCTTAGTTAGATGTATAAGTATCTAGGCATGCCATGATGGAATTCAGATGCAACGCATTTATGAAACAAATATTGATGCATCTCGAGGCATCCATAATCGCACTTTAATCAAAATGAATCCTGAACATAAAATCACTCAAACATAAAAGAAATAAAATGTTGCACTGCATCTAACAGTTTTCTCTCAAACAAGATTTGGAGCTAAATTAGGGATGGCCAACTGGCGGCCCATGGGTCACATCCAGCCTACAATTGAACCCCGAAAAAAAATACAGATGCTTTTTGTTTTTGTTTTTTTCCTTTAAAAAATGATCTCAATTCAACTCTTAGATAAAATTTTTAAAATTACAAAGATGTGTAAAAGTGTCTCAGAGGCACTGAATTGGTTGTAAAGACAGTTTGCAAATGCCACCTAGCACACACGTCTTCTCTGCTGCTATCCACAATCTTGCCCCTCCTTACCTAACGGACCTCCTGAACATCTCCACACCCTCCCGCTCTCTAAGATCTACCTCCTCCCTCCAATCAGTACCCRCTGCCCGCCTCAGCCCCAGGGGGAGCAGAGCTTTCAGCCGCTCTGCCCCACAACTCTGGAACTCACTACCCCACGGAMTARGTAACACCACCTCTCTCCCTCTGTTTAAGACTGGCCTGAAGACARATCTTTTCAGATTAGCTTATCCCTGTTAACTCCTATTGATTGGTCATRGTTCTTTAATATGTGACTGTTTTGTACTCCTCATTTCTATGTTTCTCCCGCACAACCCTATTGTTTCAATATATCTTTATTTGATTGTTGCTATTGTACAGTGTCCTTGGG